ACAAAAAGTTATTTTTAGAAAAGTTACCTACTGCAGCTTTAATTGACTAACCGTTGCAGCTCTGGTGGAAATTAACTTTCGGGGCAGTGTAAATGGACAACTATGATGAAGTTTGTTTACAGCTCTAAATAAATGCATCAATATTTATAACATAACTAATTATATTTTTAAATTTGATAATATTTGGCAATTTGTTGGTAAATTGTACAGTCAATGCAATTGTAACTGTCAGGTATAATATCCCATACATAATTGGTTTAGGGCAGTGTTTCTCAAATGCGGGTACGTGAACCTCGAGGGGTACTTTGGAGTACTGCAGGGGGTACTTGAGATAGTTTTAATGTTAATTTCAAAAATATCAGTGCAAAATACATAATTCCTAAAATAATTACACTATAATAAGTTTGAAATTTGAAAAAACAAATTTTATGTTATATTTTTCCATGCAATTGTTAACTAACTGTTATTATTAACTGTTATAAACTGTCACCTGCTGTAAAACCTCTGGAAAATAATTGTTTACCACCAAGAATGACAAAGTGAAGCACAGCTCAGTTTCTCATTAAAAAACAAAAAAATTCATCATGAATGTAGTGATAGATTTTAATGTAAGATAAAAGGTTTTTGTTCAATAAAGGTCTTGTAGTGACTGACACACCTTATAATCCATTTTCAATGGAGAGGCAAGCAGGCAGGTTGGGAGACGCTGACATTCTAACAGGGTGGAGCAACAAGTGGGTGTGAGGTGAAGTTGAATTTGCATGAACCTTTTCCTATACGCAACAACTATGAAGGAGACATCCTCGCTGTTTGTGAGTTTCCTGAACTATAGAACTGTTTTTAAACTGCTACCAGGACATTAAAAGGAGGGTATCAAGTAACTTCAGTTTTAATTTAAGCTTGGCTAAAAGTTCTGACTATGCTAAATTGGCTAGATATCAATAATAGCAGTTTCTGGTTGGCTTCAAGACCACCGGTTGCCATTAATGAAGAAAGTTTGAGAAGCACTGGTTTCGGGGATAATGAACATATAGAGCGTGTGTGTGTGAGTGTGTGCATACTTTCATAATGATGTTCCAGTTGTCTCCGGTGCATACTTGGTAGAGTGTGAGCAGGGCCGTCCCAAAATGCTTGAAGTTGGCGTGCCGATTGAGAGCCATGCACGGGTTATCCTCGCTACATTCTGAGGAACAAAGACATGCATTTATTGATCTAGACATGTTGGTTTCAACCAATAGCTGCTTGGAGTGAGAAAATGTGTTTTTGAACTGATGTGGCCTTTAGTATTCATCCATATAGTTTACTGGAACTGTTTTATTAAAGGAATACTGGAGAAATTAGGCTCTGGGTTGGCTATGTTGCTAGAGTTTCTTGTTTTCCTTGGTATCAGTGTGGATCTTGGGCAAATATGGGATCAGCTCTGGGACCATGATCCTTTGCAATAAGCCCATGTGGATGCGTGTGTTCTGCTAGTAGTGTGGCTGACCTAGCTTGCCAAACAGCTCCACTCCCAGCGCATCGTAGATAAAAAAGAAGAACATGAAGAGGAGGCAAATGTTTCCAACCTGGAATCAAAATGCACGTTAGATCTTCCTGCGCCAGCAACACTACAACGTAGATTCTGCTGACTGTATCTGCATACGTAACACACACTGAGCAGCCAATAGCGCTCAGTGTGTGTTACACTCCCTAGCTGGCGGTTTTTACAGGTAATATGTAAACATGCAGAAGCGAATAGCTCACCAACAAGACACAGATACTTCAGGGTCAGAATCTGCATATTGCAAACATTCAAATATCCCTCAACTCAAGCATAAATGCAGCTGATATGTGCTTATGCAAAAGCAAATGATTCATACTCACTTTACATTTAAAATGAATCAGACAAAAGAACAGAGTAAAGGCAACAGTGTGTGTGTTTACCTGCGACAGGGTCTTCATAATGGTCTTCAGCAGAACTCTGATATTTCTAGCCTTCAGCACTGAAGAGACACACAAGGAAGTTGTCATAAATAACACACTTAAAGCTGCAGTAGGTAACTTTTCTAAAAACAACTTTTTGTCATATTCACTGAATCTTTCACTATATCCTGACAGTAGTACACGAGACAGATAATCTGTGAAACAATCAGGTTCCTCTGGCTCCTCCTAGTGCTCCTAATGGCATTTGCAAGAATCCACCGGGCCTGAACGAAAACAACCAATCAGAGCCCAG